AGTTTTGAGAAAGACAGATGGTGATTTACGTATTTGTGGAGATTACAATATAGGTGTAAATCATAAATTTTGTTCGGATTCATATCCTATACCGAAGTTGCATTACATACACTGGCAGGCATGAGCGTTTTTACAAAAATAGATTTAAAATCGGCATACCACCAAATACCAACAGACGATAACTTCAAAGAAGTAACCACGATAAATACGCCAATAGGGTTACTAAGATGGAAAAGGATGCCATATGGAATAAAAACTGCAAGCGCCATATTTCAAATGGCCATCGAACAGCTTTTAGAAAATATGAAAAATATCATTTGTTACCAAGACGATATATGCATAGGAGCTACTAATAAAAATGAATTAAAAAAGAAAACCGACATAATTTTGAATAGATTAAGAAATGCTGGAATGACAATAAATGAGAAAAATTCGTAAGCAATTGTCGTAAAATATCTTTTTTAGGTTATTCCATTTCAAAAGAAGGTATATCACCAGACCAAGCCTTGATAGAAAAAATACTAAAAGTAGCTACACCTACAAATAAAAAAGAACTGGAGTCTTTTTGGAATTAGCGAATTTTTACAGGCGATATTTACCAAAATACACGGACTTGACTGAACCCTTTGCAAATTTAAGAAAAAAGAATGTTGAATTTATTTGGTCAGAGGAACAACAAAAAGCTTTTGATAGATTAAAAGTAATTATGGCAAAGAAACCAGTAGTGAAAATGTTTGATCCAAAAAAGGACATTGCGTTAACCACAGATGCAAGCGAACATTCGATATCGGGAATATTATCACAAGAAGGACATCCGATAATGTATTTATCAAGAAGATTAACGAACACCGAATTTAATTATTCAAATATAGAGAAAGATTTCTGTTAAGAAGTGATCATAGACCATTAGAGTTTATATTTAACCCAAGGAAAGAATTGCCCAAAGTCACAAAATTGAGGATACTAAGATGGGCAATAAGATTAATGGCATTTTACTTTGATATAGAATATGTCAAAGGGAATTCAATTCCACACGTAGATGCACTATCAAGATTGCGATTTTACAAGGAGTCAAAAGATAAAACAGAAGAAGAACTTGAAGATGCATTCTTACATTGGGTAGAGACTGATGTTTTGTCTTTAGATAGAATGGCTGCGGAAACGAGACATGATCCAGTACTAAGTAGGATAATATCAAGAATAAGAAAAAACTCATGGGGAAATTGTTCTAGAGCGGAAAGACCCTACAAAGAAATAAGACAGAAATTAACGATAGAACATGGAGTGATTTGTAATGGAGATCTGGTAGTGCCCCCAGAAACACAAAGAAAATTGGTAATAAAAAGTGTACATGATGATATACACTGGGAAGTAGCGGCCACACAAAAAAAGGATAAAATTAGAAGCATGGTGGCCAGGATATTCAAGAGACGTTGAAGAATATATAAAAAGGTGCAAAAAATGTAAAGAATTAAGAAACTTTACACAGACTACTTTACATTCGTGGCCCAGAGAAGTGGAGCCATAGAGTCGGGTGCATATGGATCATGCGTATATTATTGGAGTGGGACTCTTATTAATTCTAGTCGACTCTTTTTCAGGCAAGACAAGAAAAGTTCTACGATAAAACAGATACTAAGGGTCATATTTTCCAGAAACGGCATACCAAAAACCCTGGTATCTGACAACGCACCAGAATTTTGTGATGAAGATCTTAATTTATGGTTAGAAAAAATAGGATGTAAACCGTATAAGACATCCCCATATCACCCTCAGTCGAACGGGTTAGCGGAAAGAATGGTGCAGACCGTAAAAACGGGACTAAAAGCATACTCTCAGCAAAAAGAAAAAGTAGAAGTTTTTCTACCTAGGCTGCTTTTAAGCTATCGCACAATAGCACACGCTGAAAGACTAGAAAGCCCATCAGCTTTAATGGGAAGACAAATTAGAGCCCCGCTAACAATGTCGTATTGCACAAATGAAAAAAAATGTGGTACAAAAAGAACGGAAAGGGCAGAATTTATCATGCAAAAAGCCACAATACAGTTATAATAAATAGAGCAAACGGCAACAGTGTATTAGCCCATGCAGATCAAATAAGGATCCAGGGTGAATATGAAGAGCAAAATGATGAGAAAATGTCTACGATTCCATCCGTTAATGATTTATTAGAACAACCGTTACAAAATAAAACATCAGAAGACGATATAATGCAGGATCAAGTGGGCCAGAATGAGTTTGAAAGTTCGGACGAAGATCAAATAATGCAAGAAGATGCCTATGATTACAGCTTAGTGCGGGACAGATCTAGGTCTCCCTGGAAAAAGAAATACGGGAGAGAGAGAAGTAGAGCAAAGTAATGAAACTCTCACGAGAAGAAGTACAAGAACTACTAGGGGTATAAAACCTATACGTTTCAGGGTGATGTAGTGACACTGGCAAATTAATATACCTAATTTGCATAAGTGCAAGAGAAAGCCTATATAACTGGTCACTGAGAATAACGTGGGAGGAAGACAAGCTTAGCGTCTTCTATGTCTGACTTCTGTTGAACTCTCTGCTTTGGCAGAGAGGAACCTGGACGAAGCTTTGCCGAAGGACAAAGTTTCGTCCGGGGAAGTAGACAGGCCCTGAACTCGTCTAGGCGGGTTCAAAGGGTATATTTTTGGGCGAGCCTACGGGCTCGGATAAACCCACGTTAAACACGGACTGGTGCCACATACATTCCTCGTGGGTGTTTGTTAAATACCGAAGACAAGCTTCGCGACTGACTAATGCTAAACTTCGACTTCACATCAACTTTAATATCACTAAGACATACACAAAATTATATATACATATATACACGTGTCATGCAATGAATGATATATATATATATATATATATATATATATATGCAAAGTGTAAGCAGATACAAAAGGAAGGGTTTTATATATAATATGGAGATACTCGTATATCTGGAGAAGATATGTTTGGACTCCAGATTCAAACAGGTCGGATTCATCTTTGTCCCATGCAAGGACATATTCCATGAATAGGAAACAGTCAGTCTTGTGTTTTCCCAAATTGAGGACTGCGAGTTGGAGTTTCTCTATCTGGAAAAGATATGTTCCTAAAGGGAAGCGGCAACATGGACTTGTAAGCTGCAGGGAGTCCCTTGTGCCAGGTTAAAAAGAAAGCAACCTTTCGGTTTTCTGATATAAAACGAACTGAGATTTGACTGCAGCTTTCATCTTTGTATGGAGTGATGTCACTAAGTGGTCCATCACGTGACTCATGTGACTTATCACCACCAAAGGGTGATAATCATCTTCTGTATCCTTACATCTGCATTAAAAAGATATTTATTTGTTAAGATTATGGCTGCCAATAATGAATCCTGGTAGGACTTCTAATTCTTTCAGAATTAATTCACTGTAAAGTTTGGTGCAGTTCATACTTGTAACTTTGTGCCACATCTTAGCTATGTTTAATAAATCATGATTTTTAAGTCTTTGATTTTTCAAAGTAGGTGAAGCTTTAATATTTCCCTTTCAAAATGTAATGCATGGCTTACGTTGGAAGGCGACGTAGATTGTCAAATGTGTAAGTAAAAGTCTTTCTTCTTTATAAAAAACGGACACTCATATGACAGTGTGGGTGTCACTCACATCATAACAGCAGAAATAGCCTCGTGTTCACAGAAAATAAAAACATACTTCACAAGAAATTAATATACACAGAGATAACAGTAAAGGTACGTTAAATTGTACATTAATATCATACAATTTATCTTTTTTGTGAACTGATGTATAGCATCCCACTACCACTTTTCTTTCAATGTCAATTTTTGTGCAAATCTGTGCAAAAAGTGGATCACAGAGCTTTGATATTTTTCTCATCTCTCATTGGTTAGTTAACAATAACATACAATGCCTACATGTTATTCAAAACCATTTTTCCGCCAAAATTCAGAAATGTTCTTCGGAGCCAATCATGTAATTACGTTGATTATAAATACCAGACACAAATTTGTTCTTCCTTCTTTTTGATTTCTCTCGCTTACTAAAATGTAGCTGTTTAAGAAATTGCGTCTCGACCCCTTGCGGGCAGACGCTGTAAAAACATATTCACACATGCACACGTACACGTATGTACAAAACTTAATTACGAACATTACAAGCATCAAAATATTACGAATATTCAACTACAAGTAACAGAAATTTAATTATAAACATTACGGAACATTCACTCCTTCAACTCTTCTAAAGCTAAAAGTTTACTCAACATATTCTTAGCTTTACAGAATTCTTTCAACTCTCTCACGGTGAACATTTTGAGTGGCAAATTCATTCAATTTCCTATGAGCTCAGATAAAATATTTCTTTAGTAAAGACTTTAATTCCAGTCAAAGGGAAGTATCCCCTATTACTTATGCTTGTATATCATTGACATACATAAATGTAAATATGAATATTGTTCTTGTTATAAAAACAGTTTTTCATGTTGCTTTTTGTTTGCTTACACATTTGTAAAGTAAAAAATGTACGCGTTGATTTAGGCTGTCAATACCGATACAGATGTGTGTATTTTTGGTTACAAATGTTTCATGGTTGCAAGTTATAAAAAAGAGAAGTAACTCCATATTATTACACGCAATGTCACAGAGAGAGATGTTGGGACAGCTGTCTGTCCGAAGGTTCATAGCGAAGAGATTGAATTCAATATCTTTTGGAGGGATTTCCATTTTCCCGAAGGAACAGTTTCTGTTGCATGCTGGGAGAATTTTATTATTTTTATTTTTTATTTAAATTATTTTATACAAAGTTTTTATGTTACTGTTTAATTTTATTTTATTTATAATTTTCAATATTATTATTATTATTTTTTAAAATTTTATATTTTATTTTTCTTTGTTTCTAATAATAATGTCCCTACAACAGACTTCTTGTAAATTCTGGTCACTTCTTAAATTTAATTTTAAACTGAAGCACAGAAAAAAGACTTCCGAAATTACTTACTGTTTTCATCAACTCGCCAACTTATTTGGTTCGCATATTCCTCTTCGAGTTGCAATCTTTCAGAGCCTGTCAGCTTAAGTAACTCTTCCGACTGCATCCAGGAATGGTATCTTGAAAAAGAAATAATAATACTGTCAAAGTTTCCATTATTATTTTACCGCTAACAATAGTAGGAGTTACTTAGAAGTATAATAATAAAAAAAATAGCATTTTTTAATATTTTAAAGTTTAAAATAAATTAAATTTAGTTTATTAGAATATCAATCACCAAATCGAGTCAGAGAATGTTTCACCGTGCTTTGCTTAAAGTCAAAGATAATTTAATAAAAGTACTTCTTAATAATTTAATTAATTTTAATTAAACTTTCAAAACAAATAACTACTTTAACTTCTTAAATGATCAAGGTTATCTGCAGTTTTAATTAAAAAATAATAAGACCACTAATTATTTTCTGTTTGCTTTTTAAACGGGAGATTTTGCACTTTCTCACGTAAATTACTTTTTCGATTTTATTTTTATTAAAAAAAAAACTAAGAATTTGACATTTTATATGGGTATAATTAAACAATTATTATCTTTTGTTTTAGTTAAATAATAACTAAGTTTTATAGTTTTAATTTTTTTTAAATGGAGTTAATTTTTATTTCACAATTCAATTACTGTATTTTTCTTTTAATTTTTTTAATACGTATCTCAGTGGTTTAATTTTCGAAATTCACATTAACCACATTTTATAATTGAAGTTCTTATTCCATTCGCATCGAAATAATTCCATAAAAATGTATTTAACTAATAATTTAAATATAAATTTACGTGAATTACATACGTTAACGAAGGATAACCTTTCTTTCAATAAAGAAAAATAAAGTGGTCCTCCATCGTATTGTTTTATGAATTGTTGAAAAATAATCAAAATTGCAAACATTGAAATGTGTTTTCAAAAACGTTGTGGTTTGAACATTATAGATGACATTTTTTTTCGTTAAAAGTAATATAGAGGTCAGTGATAATAATTTAATTAATTGAATAATTTCAACGTGAGAAAATGCCAGATCACCTGTGTAAAACTTTTAAACAGCTTCGGTAAGTAATTATAAAAAGTAAAAGGTTTTTTGCAAAAAAAAAAAGTAATCATTTTGCTGTCTTATCAAGAACAACTCACTTGGGTACATGATTAGCTTCGTACGGGACCAAAACGACTTTTTCTCCATAAATAATTGTGTTTTTGTTTATTAACATTTCGCTATCAAAATTTTTACATTCACAAAATATTACATTCCGGTGTTAAACAAAAAAGTTCCGCCTTTGAATTAATCCACCAATTAATTAATTCGAACCATAATAAGTCGAAATAAATTCTAGTTATGAATGTATCGTCTTTCCTCGTTATTTTAAAAATAATTTAAAAGATATATATCAGAGAACGATATTTGGAGATGGCTTTTACGGGCAATATCGAAGAAAAACAACCCTTAGCAGTTGTTGTGTAGAAATGGGCTTGCCGCTTGACATGTGTGCTGAGAAACATCAATATTGTTCGCGCATTTTCACAATGGCTGTTCATGGCTGGATTACACGACGATCGATGACGAATAAAATAACAAATGGAGGACATTATAAACATACTTTGTAAGTTTTATTTCTGGTAAAAAATGTTGAGCGTATGGCTGCAAAGGAAAGAACAAAGTGTGTATTGATCAATTTTCAGAATATATACTTTTTTGTGTGAAAAGGTAGCAGAATTATTTGATATGTGGTTCTTTAGTTGCCGTTGGTAAGGGAAAATATTAGGTGTAAGGGTGTTGTTGGTAAGCCTGGGAGTTAACCGAATTGTTGGATTGGTTGACCAAGGTCACGGTTGGTGTCAGGAGAGAAGCCTGGAGTAGTGGTTACGCGAGTGGGGTGTTGTTGGTGAAGTTGGTCCATGTGTCCTTAGGATTAAAATCGACACCTGTGAGGTTTGTGGTTGGGTCGAGGAGTAAAGGTAGTTAAAATAATAACGATGTCAAAGGAAAACTGTCCTTTTGTCAAACTTTTTTTTTTCAAGCACGAAGGTTAAAGATGGCTAGAATTTCTATACCCCTCTTATACTCTCCGCAGATTGGCCCCGCTTATTAGACAAAAGTCAGAAGAAAATTTTGTAAATTTATTTATTATTTATGAATATAATACATGCCAAATATGGCACAAATCCGAATTTCTGGAAACGGGAAGACTGGTCTTTATCTGTCCTACGTTTAACTTAGCTAATCTCAATTACTGACCCACTCGTCAAATAACGTTCTTTTCACCATAACGTCGCATTCTTGCATTCTTTATGCCATACATGTTACACGCTTCGACGATCATGTATCTTTCGATACATGACTGACGAGGCAGATTTTTTCCCGCAGTAGATTGCCATTTCTTTCTGCGGTAGACCAGTTGCCATCCAAACTATTTACCTATAGATGGGGTGGGGGGGGAGAAGAGGATTCATACCTTTCCCAAAGGTATTAGAATGGAATTCGAATTCGGCTCTCCGATTCCTCAATACAGGACCGCTAGCCATTACTCTATTCATTACTCTACCGTGCCTCCTTACATTTTTGCATACCTTTCTTTATTACAGTCACCAAAATACCACAAGAATACAATAAATTTTTATTTGCTGTTAACACACTTCTTGGATAGAATGTAAACTGCGTTGCGTAAGTATGTGTGAACGGTGAAATGTGGTTCCATGTGTGTTTGTGTGAAAGAGTCAGTATGAGTATGCGTGCGTAGTTGTAACGTGAATAAAGGAGATAAGGTAGAATTTAGTTCTTAATGTGGACGGTGGGGCCGTACTTTGAGGCGGTCTCTTTCTAGTTTGGTCAGTGCTGCTGAGTTAAGCGTTGCTTTTGCATGTAGAAGTGAATTGTGTCTTGAATATCAGCAGCTAGTGATGTGGACTTTGGTGGCATTTATGAGAGTTAGGGCCGGACTTCGTGATTTCTAAGTTTTTTTTTCCTAAGAAATCGGCTCTAGAATTATAAAAAGCCACGTTGTATGTCTACTACTACGTCCGCGCGATATTTTGGCGGTATCTACCTAAATTATGAGAACAAATAAAACAATCTTTCTGGTTTGTATTCTATAGTTTAATTGTTGTGTTTTAAGATGTAAGCATTTTATTGTGTTTTATTGGTTTATAAATATTTTGGAGGCGTGTTTTAATGTTTATGTAGCTATTGTTGGCTGAAAATACTTCTCCTGTTAAAAATCAATGAGTTTATAATTAAGTTTCTTAGTAACATAATAATTAGTTTTATTGGGTGAAATATGTTGCACATTTTATTAGAGATTTTAGTGGACACGACAAGGCCCCCTCTTGATCATTAGAAATTTATTTCTAATGATATATAGGAAAGAATAATTTAATATCTCAGGTATGTTTTGAACAATGTATTGTACATGTCTCCCAAATCTTGTTGCTGTACTTCGTTTGTACTTTATTTAGTTTAACGGAGAAGAAAGATATAGGTATGATTTGTTTGTCTAAGATTTAATGTATAACCGCATCTACAGTTGTTGATGAAACATCTGTTATGAGGGTGAGTTTAATTTATTCGCTATCCTTGATGTAATTCAGCTTAGCGAAGTTAGCTAAAGCTGTTTTGGTGTTGCTGAATGCTCCTACAGTATCTTTCTTTAACGTAATCTTTTTGTCCTTGTTCTTGAGTAGATTAGTCGGAGTTAGCTCCTCCTTAATTCCCAAATTGTCACCAGGGGTCATTCTCCCTATACTATAAATACTGGGCGACTTCTCGTCTTGTTCTCTTTTTCATTTAAATTTTTAATATTGTTGTTTATATCCCCCCACAAAAGACGATAAATTGTGCATATGGGGACTAGTTAGTATTTTCATGGAGACATTGAGGTATTATGGTGGATGTGGTGAGAAAGGTACGTAAGAATGCGTTGTTTTGGTGTAAAGAATATTCTTAGTATGATTGGGTCAGCGTTTGTGGCTAGCTAAGTTTACAGTTAAGACAGAAGACCAACCTCTTCCCCCTCCCCAATTTCGGCCTTGTGCCCCATTTTCTGTATTTTACAGAAATAAATATTCTTTTTCATTTCTTCATTTCAGCGACTACAATATAAACTTTCTTAGAAGATCCGCGTCTTCCCATTCGTGGGAGACGCCATGAACATTATACACACATACACGTACGTACGAACATTCACCAAAGAACAGACACCAATATTTACACACACACAAATGTTATTGTCCATTGTAAAGTTGTTTTGTTTAATACATATACATTTGTTTATATATATATATGTATATATATATATATATATCGGTCTTGTTTGTCTTCTTTACATCTTCAGTTGGACTTAATTCAAGTCCGGCAATGTTCTTGTAGTTGGACCTTTTTTAATATTCTACCAGGAGTCACACACGTGTTTCTAATACAAACTCACATTAACCCAATCGGTCCTCTACAGATTCGTCAAGGGTGATAGTGCCCATGAACAATTAGGCATCAATCTCCAGTAATAATTGATAAAGCCTATAAATCTTCGCAATTGTCTTACTAACGTTGGTTGCGGAAAGTTGGCAATTGCTTCCATTTTGTCTGGTAACGGTGAAATGTCTTCTTGGTCAATTTTATGTCCGAGGAAATTTAGTTTGGGTTCTTCAAAAATATATTTTGTGTCCAAAATGTGAAAGACTTTGAAAAGCTTGTTCCAAATGTAGTTTTGTGTTCTTCCCGGTTTCAGCTGGCAATTAAAACATCGTCTATATAGGCATATACGAAAGGTAAACCTCTAAATACCTCGTCCATTGGTCTCTGGAAGGTCTGAGCAGCATAACGTAACCCAAAAGGCATTCTCACGAACACGTATAATCTGAACGGCATCGTCAGAGAAGTTTTGTGGATGTCCTTTTCGGCAACTGGTACTTAGTAATACGCCTTCACCAGTTCTAGCTTCGAGAAAATGTGAGTGGCTTGGAGACCTATGTGCCTTTCATAATTGGCTGTACTTTGTGGTGTAATGGATATCGACTCGGAATGAGAAATCGGAGAGCCGAGTTCGAAATCCAGCTAAGTTCGTTACATTTCTTATTTTGCTAAGTGTGCCGTGATATTTTCATTTGCTCTTAGATTTGCTATTGCTTAAAAAGTTTGAGAAACACTGCACTAGAGACCTGACATGTCTGTCACCGAACGAAGGGAATGAGAAAGAATTAAACTAAACTAAAGGAAAAGGGATAAAAATAATAGAAAGCACTGTGCTGATTAAAAATATATAAAAAAGAACTAGTTAAAAATACATTTTTTTTTCATCAGTATCCTCCCGAAGCAATGCAGTATCGTTGATTCAATAATGGAACAGGATTCAGGAAGGCAGAAAATGGTGATTGACATTACATTGAAATTTTTTGAAGATTGTAGGTGGCAGGGAAACAAGAAATCGGGAGTTCAACAGGCGAGAAGTATGAGAAAACAAACTGTTGAAATATAAGTGACGGTTGCATCTAGGTAGCTCAACATTAAAACGACGACACCTAATTGCCAATCAAGTAACATGCTTAACTTGCGTATAAAATCCAGCGCTTTATAAAGATTTTTATTTTATTTCATTTTTTTAGCCGGGGTAATTGACTTGTAGGAACTTGAACGGAACCCATCCAATATGGCTGGGTATAAATTTAATAAACAATCATTTTTAGAGCCAATAAGAAAACGTCTTTTGAACTAAAATCTTCTACTTCGGACTTTCAAAGAATTCAGCCGCAAGCATCCAGATAAGTTGTTATGCTTTGAAAGGAAACGCCATTCTTAGATTTATTAACCAATCGGAAACTTTTTTTCGTCTCTATAAAAAAGGTGTCCACCAGTTAAATCAGAGTCGAGTTCGTTCATCATATCGATGCCGTTACACACACACACACACATATATATATATATAAACTCTCGCTGAGCACACAGGCAGTCGAGTCAGACAGAGTTAGCTGTTCACCTTTGCAATCTACCCACTCACAGAGACACATATGCAGTCACAGAGTTCGTATGGACATCCTTTCTCCAGTCATTGACTGTGACTTTTTCCTCTTAGAGGTAGCCATCTAATTTCATACATCTTCAATTATTGTTACTTTATTATTTGAAACTACAACTTCTTCTTTTTATCCGTGTATGTTCTTGATTTTTCGATTTAATTTCAACCTTTTTTGCTTTAACTCAACTTTGACAAGGTTATATTTT